CCCGTGTCTCTCTCCCCGTGTCTCTCTCCCCGTGTCTCTCTCCCCGTGTCTCTCTCCCCGTGTCTCTCTCCTCGTGTCTCTCTCCCCGTGTCTCTCTCCCCGTGTCTCTCTCACCGTGTCTCTCACCGTGTCTCCGTGTCTCTCTCTCTCTCCCCACGTGTCTCTCTCCCCGTGTCTCTCTCTCACCGTGTCTCTCACCGTGTCTCTCTCTCTCCCCGTGTCTCTCTCCCCGTGTCTCTCTCCCCGTGTCTCTCTCTCTCACCGTGTCTCTCTCCCCGTGTCTCTCTCCCCGTGTCTCTCTCCCCGTGTCTCTCTCCCCGTGTCTCTGACTCTCCCCGTGTCTCTCTCCCCGTGTCTCTCTCCCCGTGTCTCTCTCCCCGTGTCTCTCACCGTGTCTCTCTCTCCTCGTGTCTCTCTCTCCCCGTGTCTCTCCCCGTGTCTCTCTCCCCGTGTCTCTCTCTCCCTGTCTCTCTCCCCGTGTCTCTCTCCCCGTGTCTCTCTCCCCGTGTCTCTCTCTCTCCCCGTGTCTCTCTCCCCGTGTCTCTCTCCCCGTGTCTCTCTCTCCCCGTGTCTCTCTCCCCGTGTCTCTCTCTCCCTGTCTCTCTCCCCGTGTCTCTCTCTCCCTGTCTCTCTCCCCGTGTCTCTCTCCCCGTGTCTCTCTCCCCGTGTCTCTCTCTCCCTGTCTCTCTCCCCGTGTCTCTCTCCCCGTGTCTCTCTCTCCCTGTGTCTCTCTCCCCGTGTCTCTCTCTCCCTGTCTCTCTCCCCGTGTCTCTCTCCCCGTGTCTCTCTCCCCGTGTCTCTCTCTCCCTGTGTCTCTCTCCCCGTGTCTCTCTCTCCCTGTCTCTCTCCCCGTGTCTCTCTCCCCGTGTCTCTGACTCTCCCCGTGTCTCTCCCCGTGTCTCTCTCTCTCACCGTGTCTCTCCGTGTGTGTCTCTCTCACTCCCTGTCTCTCTCCCTGTCTCTCTCCCTGTCTCTCTCTCCCCGTGTCTCTCACCGTGTCTCTCTCTCCCCGTGTCTCTCTCCCCGTGTCTCTGTCTCTCTCCCCGTGTCTCTCTCCCCGTGTCTCTCTCCCTGTCTCTCTCCCCGTGTCTCTCTCTCCCTGTCTCTCCCCGTGTCTCTCTCCCCACGTGACGTAGCGACAAGCCCACGGTGAGCTCCGTGGTGTCGGCTCTTCGTGGCTCTGTCTCTCTCACCGTGTCTCTCTCTCCCTGTCTCTCTCTCTCTGTGTCTCTCTCCCTGTGTCTCTCTCTCTCTGTCTCTCTCTCTCCCCGTGTCTCTCACCGTGTCTCTGTGTCTCTCTCTCTCTCTGTGTCTCTCACCATGTCTCTCTCTCTCCCTGTCTCTCTCTCCCCGTGTCTCTCTCACCCTGTCTCTCTCCGTGTCTCTGACTCTCTCTCTCCCCATGACGTAGCGACAAGCCCACGGTGAGCTCCGTGCTGTCGGCTCTTCGTGGCTCTGTCTCTCTCTCTGTGTCTCTCTCCCTGTCTCTCTCCCTGTGTCTCTCTCTCTCTGTGTCTCTCTCTCTCCCCGTGTCTCTCACCGTGTCTCTGTGTCTCTCTCTCTCTCTGTGTCTCTCACCATGTCTCTCTCTCTCCCTGTCTCTCTCTCTCTCTCACCGTGTCTCTCACCGTGTCTCTGTGTCTCTCTCTCTCTCTCACCGTGTCTCTCTCTCTCTCTCACCGTGTCTCTCTCTCTCTCCCCGTGTCTCTGTCTCTCTCTCCCTGTCTCTCTCTCTCTCCCCGTGTCTCCCCGTGTCTCTCCCCGTGTCTCTCTGTCTCTCTCTCCCCGTGTCTCCCCCCGTGACGTAGCGACAAGCCCACGGTGAGCTCCGTGCTGTCGGCTCTTCGTGGCTCTGTCTCTCTCTCTCACCGTGTCTCTCTCTCTGTGTCTCTCTCTCTGTGTCTCTCTCTCTCACCGTGTCTCTCTCTCACCGTGTCTCTCTCTCACCGTGTCTCTCTCCCTGTCTCTCTCTCTCACCGTGTCTCTCTCTCTCTCTGTGTCTCTCTCTCTCACCGTGTCTCTCTCACCGTGTCTCTCTCTCTGTGTCTCTCTCTCTCACCGTGTCTCTCTCTCTCTGTGTCTCTCTCTCTCTGTGTCTCTCCCTGTCTCCCCGTGTCTCCCCCCGTGACGTAGCGACAAGCCCACGGTGAGCTCCGTGGTGTCGGCTCTTCGTGGCTCTGTCTCTCTCTCTCACCGTGTCTCTGTGTCTCTCTCTCTGTGTCTCTCTCTCTCACCGTGTCTCTCTCTCACCGTGTCTCTCTCTCACCGTGTCTCTCTCCCTGTCTCTCTCTCTCACCGTGTCTCTCTCTCTCTGTGTCTCTCTCTCTCACCGTGTCTCTCTCACCGTGTCTCTCTCTCTGTGTCTCTCTCTCTCACCGTGTCTCTCTCTCTCTGTGTCTCTCTCTCTCTGTGTCTCTCCCTGTCTCCCCGTGTCTCCCCCCGTGACGTAGCGACAAGCCCACGGTGAGCTCCGTGGTGTCGGCTCTTCGTGGCTCTGTCTCTCTCTCTCACCGTGTCTCTGTGTCTCTCTCTCTCACCGTGTCTCTCTCTCCCCGTGTCTCTCTCCCCGTGTCTCTGTCTCTCTCCCCGTGTCTCTCTCTCCCTGTGTCTCTCTCTCACCGTGTCTCTCTCTGTGTCTGTCTCCCTGTCTCTCTCTCTCTGTGTCTCTCTCTCCCCATGTCTCTCACCGTGTCTCTGTGTCTCTCTCTCTCTGTCTCTCTCCCTGTCTCTCCCCGTGACGTAGTGACAAGCCCACGGTGAGCTCCGTGCTGTCGGCTCTTCGTGGCTCTGTGTCTGTCTCTCTCTGTGTGTCTCTCTCTCTCTCCCCGTGTCTCTCACCGTGTCTCTGTGTCTCTCTCTCTCTCTCCCCGTGTCTCTCTCCCCGTGTCTCTCTCTCTCCCTGTCTCTCCCCACGTGACGTAGCGACAAGCCCACGGTGAGCTCCGTGCTGTCGGCTCTTCGTGGCTCTGTCTCTCTCCCCGTGTCTCTCTGTGTGTCTCTCTCTCTCTCACCGTGTCTCTCTGTGCGTCTCTCTCTCTCCCCACGTGTCTCTCACCGTGTCTCTCTGTGTGTCTCTCTCTCTCTCACCGTGTCTCTCACCGTGTCTCTGTGTCTCTCTCTCTCCCCGTGTCTCTCTCCCTGTCTCTCACCATGTCTCTCTCTCCCTGTGTCTCTCTCCCCGTGTCTCTCTCCCCGTGTCTCTCCCCGTGTCTCTCCCCACGTGACGTAGCGACAAGCCCACGGTGAGCTCCGTGCTGTCGGCTCTTCGTGGCTCTGTCTCTCTCTCACCGTGTCTCTCTCTCTCCCCGTGTCTCTCTCTCCGTGTCTCTCTCTCCCCGTGTCTCTCTCCCCGTGTCTCTCCCCGTGTCTCTCTCCCCGTGTCTCTCTCTCCCCGTGTCTCTCCCCCTGTCTCTCCCCGTGACGTAGCGACAAGCCCACGGTGAGCTCCGTGCTGTCGGCTCTTCGTGGCTCTGTCTCTCTCTCACCGTGTCTCTGACTCTCCCCGTGTCTCTCACCGTGTCTCTCTCTCCCTGTCTCTCTCTCTGTCTCCCCGTGTCTCTCTCCCCGTGTCTCTCCCCGTGTCTCTCACCGTGTCTCCCCCCGTGACGTAGCGACAAGCCCACGGTGAGCTCCGTGCTGTCGGCTCTTCGTGGCTCTGTCTCTCTCTCTGTGTCTCTCTCTGTGTCTGTCTCCCTGTCTCTCTCTCACCGTGTCTCTCTCTCTCACCGTGTCTCTCTCACCGTGTCTCTCTCCCCGTGTCTCTCTCCCCATGTCTCTCCCCGTGTCTCTCTCTCCCTGTCTCTCCCCGTGTCTCTCCCCGTGTCTCTCTCACCGTGTCTCTCCCCGTGTCTCACCGTGTCTCTCTCCCCGTGTCTCTCCCCGTGTCTCTCTCTCCCTGTCTCTCTCCCTGTCTCTCCCCGTGTCTCTCCCCACATGACGTAGCGACAAGCCCACGGTGAGCTCCGTGCTGTCGGCTCTTCGTGGCTCTGTCTCTCTCTCTGTGTCTCTCTCCCTGTCTCTCTCTCTGTGTCTCTCTCTCTCTCTCCCTGTCTCTCTCTCTCTCTCCCCGTGTCTCTCTCACCCTGTCTCTCCCCGTGTCTCCCCGTGTCTCTCCCCGTGTCTCCCCCCGTGACGTAGCGACAAGCCCACGGTGAGCTCCGTGCTGTCGGCTCTTCGTGGCTCTGTGTGTCTCTCTCTCTCTCACCGTGTCTCTCACCGTGTCTCTGTGTGTCTCTCTCTCACCGTGTCTCTCTGTGTGTCTCTCTCCCCGTGTCTCTCCCCCCGTGACGTAGCGACAAGCCCACGGTGAGCTCCGTGCTGTCGGCTCTTCGTGGCTCTGTCTCTCTCTCTCACCGTGTCTCTCTCTCCCCGTGTCTCTCTGTGTGTCTCTCTCTCTCTCCCCACGTGTCTCTCACCGTGTCTCTGTGTCTCTCTCTCTCTCTGTGTCTCTCTCCCTGTCTCTCACCATGTCTCACCCTGTCTCTCTCTCCCCGTGTCTCTGACTCTCCCCGTGTCTCTCTCTCTCCCCGTGTCTCTCCCCACGTGACGTAGCGACAAGCCCACGGTGAGCTCCGTGCTGTCGGCTCTTCGTGGCTCTGTCTCTCTCACCGTGTCTCTCTCTCTCTGTGTCTCTCTCTCTCCCCGTGTCTCTCACCGTGTCTCTCCCCGTGTCTCTCTCTCCCTGTCTCTCCCCGTGTCTCTCTCCCCGTGTCTCTCTCACCCTGTCTCTCCCCGTGTCTCCCCGTGTCTCTCCCCGTGTCTCTCTCCCTGTCTCTCCCCTGTCTCCCCCCGTGACGTAGCGACAAGCCCACGGTGAGCTCCGTGCTGTCGGCTCTTCGTGGCTCTGTCTCTCTCTCACCGTGTCTCTCTCTCTGTGTCTCTCTCTCTGTGTCTCTCTCTCTCTCTCTCCCTGTCTCTCTCTCTCTCTCCCCGTGTCTCTCTCACCCTGTCTCTCCCCGTGTCTCCCCGTGTCTCTCCCCGTGTCTCCCCCCGTGACGTAGCGACAAGCCCACGGTGAGCTCCGTGCTGTCGGCTCTTCGTGGCTCTGTCCGCCGTCTGGCTCGCCACGCGGACGGAGCCGCGGTGCTGGAGTTCGCCTACTCAGAGAGAGCCGTCCTGTCGCAGAGACGGGACATCCTGACGGAGCTCTACGGGAGGACTTTCATGCTCACTCGGGTGAGACACAGAGACACAGACACAGAGACTCACACTCAGAGAGAGCCGTCCTGTCGCAGAGACGGGACATCCTGACGGAGCTGTACGGGAGGACTTTCACGCTCACTCGGGTGAGACACAGAGAGAGAGAGACACACAGAGAGACACACACAGAGAGAGAGAGACACACACAGAGACTCACACTCAGAGAGAGCCGTCCTGTCGCAGAGACGGGACATCCTGACGGAGCTGTACGGGAGGACTTTCACTCTCACTCGGGTGAGACACAGAGAGAGAGAGACACACACAGAGACACACACAGAGAGAGAGACACAGAGAGAGAGAGAGACACAGAGAGAGAGAGAGACACACAGAGACTCACACTCAGAGAGAGCCGTCCTGTCGCAGAGACGGGACATCCTGACGGAGCTGTACGGGAGGACTTTCACTCTCACTCGGGTGAGACACAGAGACACTCAGAGACACACACAGAGACACAGAGACACACACACAGAGACTCACAGAGACACAGAGACACACACACAGAGACACACACACACAGAGACACACACACAGAGACTCACACTCAGAGAGAGCCGTCCTGTCGCAGAGACGGGACATCCTGACGGAGCTCTACGGGAGGACTTTCATGCTCACTCGGGTGAGACACAGAGACACAGACACAGAGACTCACACTCAGAGAGAGCCGTCCTGTCGCAGAGACGGGACATCCTGACGGAGCTGTACGGGAGGACTTTCACGCTCACTCGGGTGAGACACAGAGAGAGAGAGACACACAGAGAGACACACACAGAGAGAGAGAGACACACACAGAGACTCACACTCAGAGAGAGCCGTCCTGTCGCAGAGACGGGACATCCTGACGGAGCTGTACGGGAGGACTTTCACACTCACTCGGGTGAGACACAGAGAGAGAGAGACACACAGAGACACACAGAGAGACTCACAGAGAGAGAGACACAGAGAGAGAGAGACACAGAGAGAGAGACACACACACAGAGACTCACACTCAGAGAGAGCCGTCCTGTCGCAGAGACGGGACATCCTGACGGAGCTGTACGGGAGGACTTTCACTCTCACTCGGGTGAGACACAGAGACACTCAGAGACACACACAGAGACACACACAGAGAGAGAGACACACACACAGAGACTCACAGAGACACAGAGACACACACACAGAGACACACACACACAGAGACACACACACAGAGACTCACACTCAGAGAGAGCCGTCCTGTCGCAGAGACGGGACATCCTGACGGAGCTGTACGGGCGGACTTTCACTCTCACTCGGGTGAGACACAGAGACACAGAGACACACACAGAGACACAGAGAGACACAGAGAGACACACAGAGACTCACAGAGAGAGAGACACACACAGAGACTCACACTCAGAGAGAGCCGTCCTGTCGCAGAGACGGGACATCCTGACGGAGCTCTACGGGAGGACTTTCACGCTCACTCGGGTGAGACACAGAGACACAGAGACACACACAGAGACACACACACTCAGAGAGAGAGACACACACACAGAGACTCACACTCAGAGAGAGCCGTCCTGTCGCAGAGACGGGACATCCTGACGGAGCTGTACGGGAGGACTTTCACTCTCACTCGGGTGAGACACGGAGACACAGAGACACACACACAGACACAGAGAGAGAGAGACACACAGAGACACACACACACAGAGAGAGACACACAGAGAGAGAGAGACACACACACAGAGACTCACACAGAGACACAGAGAGAGAGAGACACACACACACAGAGACTCACACTCAGAGAGAGCCGTCCTGTCGCAGAGACGGGACATCCTGACGGAGCTGTACGGGAGGACTTTCACTCTCACTCGGGTGAGACACAGAGACACACACAGAGACACAGAGACACACACAGAGACACAGAGACACACACAGAGAGAGAGACACACACAGAGACTCACACTCAGAGAGAGCCGTCCTGTCGCAGAGACGGGACATCCTGACGGAGCTCTACGGGAGGACTTTCACTCTCACTCGGGTGAGACACAGAGAGAGAGAGACACACACAGAGACACACACAGAGAGAGAGAGACACACACAGAGACTCACACTCAGAGAGAGCCGTCCTGTCGCAGAGACGGGACATCCTGACGGAGCTGTACGGGAGGACTTTCACTCTCACTCGGGTGAGACACAGAGACACAGAGACACACAGAGAGACACAGAGAGACACACACAGAGAGAGAGAGACACACACAGAGACTCACACTCAGAGAGAGCCGTCCTGTCGCAGAGACGGGACATCCTGACGGAGCTGTACGGGAGGACTTTCACTCTCACTCGGGTGAGACACAGAGACACAGAGAGACACACAGAGACACACACACAGAGAGACTCACACTCAGAGAGAGCCGTCCTGTCGCAGAGATGTGACATCCTGATGGAGCTGTACGGGAGGACTTTCACTCTCACTCGGGTGAGACACAGAGACACTCAGAGACAGAGACACACACAGAGACACACACAGAGAGAGAGAGACACACACAGAGACTCACACTCAGAGAGAGCCGTCCTGTCGCAGAGACGGGACATCCTGACGGAGCTGTACGGGAGGACTTTCATGCTCACTCGGGTGAGACACAGAGACACAGAGAGAGACACAGAGACACACACTCAGAGACACACACAGAGAGACTCACACTCAGAGAGAGACACACAGAGACACACACAGAGACTCACACTGAGAGAGAGCCGTCCTGTCGCAGAGACGGGACATCCTGACGGAGCTGTACGGGAGGACTTTCACTCTCACTCGGGTGAGACACAGAGACACAGAGAGACTCACACAGAGACACACACAGAGACTCACAGAGAGAGAGACACACACACAGAGACTCACACTCAGAGAGAGAGACACACACACACACACAGACACAGAGACACACACAGAGACTCACACACAGACACAGAGACA